CCTTCAGATCCCAAAAGAGTGAGATGGCCTCTTTTGGTTTTGGAATAGTGAAAAGGTTGGCATAAAAACCCTAAAAACCTTCTGCTATTGGAACAATAGCAATAACTTCTTGGCTCAGGAGATCTGCAAGAGCAGCATGAATGTCTGCTAGTCTGTGTGGAATCACAGGTTGGACAACATGAAGCCAGAAAGGGGCAAAAAGGAGGGCAACCAAGATGCTTTCTGACCAGGTGTCTGCTAAAGCTGGGGGTGTCCTTTCATGCCGTAGAGGAATTGTCTGTACGTTTGGGAGATTTAGGTGTCCAGGGTTTGTCATTGAAGTGGGCTCCTGGTTTGGGGCTGGCCTTGGAGGTTGAAGCCTTCCAGTAACAAAAGGAAATGTTCTTGGCCTCACAGAAGGGAGGAGTCTTTCCAGTTTGGGGCTTAGACTTCTTCTGTTGGGGCAAATGAGTGCTTTTACCCCCAGTAACATCCTGTATGACCATATCCAAGGAAGCATCAAAGAGCTGTTCACCATCAAGAGGCATGCACAGGCAGCATTTTCTACATTGCTGTTCTACAAACCAACAACAGTTTAGCCAAAGAATTCTCCGCAAAGTCACAGACAGGAGACTAATTCGGGAAATAAGATGGACAATGTTGACTAAACAGTTCACGCAGTTGTGTAAGACTGAAGGCATACACTCTAAGCACCTAAATAAATAATCAAAACACAATTTATTACAAATAAAGTAAAGGGCCCGTAAGGTTAATAGCTGGATCCGTTTACAAAAGTTTAGGCCATTCACCTAAAGTTTGACTGACATTACAGCTATGGCATGACAGTTTGCAGAGAAGGACCTGCTGGTGAAAACTGGTTTGGGAAGGGTTTCCGAATATTTGTCAAAGGAACCCTAAACACTGGTGCATCTTCAACAGGTATGGTCAGTGTCTTATTAAGACAGGAAATCGTCTGATCCACAACAGGAACAGCCCACTGCTTGATGAAGGCCTTCTCAAACTCATACTGGGGGGAGTAAACAGTTTATCTGGAGTTTTCCAATCCCTGTACAAAACATCTTCAAATAAGGAGCGTACTGCAAAACTTCTTATAGTCTTGGGGTCTCTGAGGGATCCCATGCTGGTAACAGCACGAGTAGAAGCTACAGGCTGTTTTTCAGTTTTTATGGTTGCACACACTGCAACAGTAAGAACCAATATTGTATCTTTAAGCCAGGGACCTATGGAAGCTGCCAGCAGATCCTCAGAAACAAAAGCATCCATCAAGGATTTGTGAAACTCTTCCTTGGACAGAGCCTCTTCTGCAGAAAGCTCAGAGGCATCTTAGCTTTCTGCAGCAGCAGTGCCGGTGCTAGGATTCTTGCCTACACAGGCAATGTGCATTTTTGCGCCCACCCCCGAACCTCCTTTCCCCCCCTTTCCCGAGCCCCTGTAGCGCTGGGCCTGCTTGCGCTATGTTTTTGTTTTTTTTCACTTACCTTCGGTGCAAGCCTGACTTGCCTTGCGGTAGCGCCGGGCCTGCGCAGCAGGTATGTCAGATACAGATTCTACAGAGAAAGGTGTAGAAGCACGCTACAGCGTCTGCATTCTGAGTCCTAATCATAGATGCAATTTGCTCTAGACTCAAACAGGGAACAATGATCCAGGCTGTTGGTGTCAGGTCCCTTAAGGGACAGAGACATAGATATCTCTACTACTACATATCTTCTACTTTGTATGCAGTGGCACCATCTACCAGTTGTTCCAGCACCCAATGAACTAAAAAAAAAAATAGGTATATTGGTACACTGTGCATAGGAGATAATGACACAAATGTGGAACTATTAGTAGATTCCATCCTGAAAACCAGGGGCGGATTGGGCCGGGGGGCAGGGTGGCAATTGCCCCCCGGGCCTCTGTGCTGCCTTTAAAAACGGCCGCTGCCCCGCTAATAGAATTTTACGGCCACCGGTGCAGTGGCTCCCTCCGCCGCCACTTACAGAGTACATAGCCGCTACAGATGCGGCTCTGTAAAAAAAAGTCGCAGCAGTCGTATACGTGCACAGCACTGACGAGGCATCCCTCCACTACCAGTGTGCTATAATTTTCCTCAACCCATACTCTACCGCGTCTCTTCCAGGTGCACATGCCATGAAGAAAGGTGGTCATGAAAACAGCTGATTCGGATGACTCGGCCCCACGAGAAGTGACACAGTCGAGACACTGTCCGGCCCCTCCCACTAACCTCCCACTCTCCTCCCACAGCTCACAGCCCAGAAGCATGGACAGCCAGCGGCGGTCTACAGTGGGTGAGAGTGCCTAAGTACCAGACATGGAGCGGAGTAAGGCCAGAACCATGTAGGGAGCCCAGTGGGAGTAGAGCACCATCCCCCAGCGATTCACCCCTTTCATGAACTTACTAGGAGTCCTCACATCAGCCGACCATTCACTACTGTTACATGGATGGCTAAAGTGGCAGACAGGGGCGGGGAAGAGGCAGAGCGGGAGGGGGGCCAAGTTGCTGCACCATGGGCCTCTGGGTTGTACTTGCCCCCTGGGCTAAAAGTTGCCAGTCAGCCCCTGCCTGGAACTATTAGTGGATTGCAAGCTGGAGTAGCCTGAGGCAGCAGGACTGATCCCCTTTCACTTGGGATTTGATATGTTGCACTGTGTAAAAGAGACAACTTGGCTGAGAGCACCAGGTTAAAATTGTGGGTGATCACCAACCAGCTGCTGATAGCAGGAAAGGTTCTTGGTGTCGGAGGTGACGGTCACTCTGGGTGGCAGAAAGGATTATCTGGGATAAAAATGTGTGCCTCTTGCGTATAGGAGCGATGGCTGCAAGGTTCCACTTCACATTGAAAAGATGGGAACATATTGTGAAGTGCCCGTGAGACTGTAACTAGTGACACAGCACTTAATTCCCCAGCATGCTAACCCTTTCCATTGAAACCAGCAGAAAAGGGGAGATATTGATGGTACTCAATGATTCCACTAATTATAGTAGCTTGGCCCACACAGTGTGCTCATTTTAAGAGTCTTCAGAGTTTGGGTCACATCAGAGACTGTGCTACGGCTCTGGACCTGGAAAGTGCTCTGCGGCTAACTAACACAGTATACAGAGCTCTGGAAAGCACCACAAGCAGACTCTGGTGCCCGAAGGTCTCACTCCAGACAGGCCCTTCCGAATTCGGTCCAGTGGAATTTGGATATGGTCTCCAAAGCTAATGCTTAGGATATGCTGATGTGGATAGCTGTGTAAAGAGCACAGCTTAACAAAATATAGATGGAGTCTTAATTAAAGGAGAAAAAAAATAATCATGAGAAGAAGAACAAGACTAGACAAGAAAAATGTTCTCAATAGAGAAAAAACTGACGCATCCTGAGAGTGAAAGGTGCTAAACTTGACTGGCCAACACCTTTTTTGTTTGACAGTGTCCAATTCCTCCTGTAGGTGGCAGAAAAACCTAGTTGTCTCTAAAGTACGTAATTCTGTGTCCCTTAGGGAATGAGTAAGAAAACCAAAAACTCGAGGTTTTAACCTCTACTCTATCCAAATCACTAGAAGCAACATTTTGGCTATGGATGCACTCTAGCCCTTTTGTGATCAGAGGTCATTGATGCCTAGATATCCCGGCCAAATTTAGCAGCATCAGAATGTGTAGATATTCGCTTAACACTAAGTCTATTTTACACACCTAGAAAAAAAAATTATATAACTTTTTTGAAGGACATAATCCTTACACGCAATAAAATACCTGCTGTGGTTTATTTTATTTTTTTAATAGACTGATAAATGCATATTATTTTGTTAACTTTTTTTAATACTCCAATTGTATATGACAATTACCGTAATAAATTGATGAATGCAGCCAACTGCAGGCTGGCTTATTTTGTAAATGAAGTCTAAGGGCCTGTTCACACGACGTCCGTATTCTGTGCTGACCTGATCCGTACGCTTCTGCACTAAATATCCATCCCAATGTATCCCTATGTGTTTTATGGGCTACAGTTCTCACGTGCGCAGTCCGTTCCTGACTGAAAAAATACATGTCACATTTTGTCCGATCAGGAAACGCACAAACGCGTCGCCAACGCAATGCAGCTAAGCAAAAAAAAAATGTATTCTTGCTCCACGTTTTATGATGTCATCCATCATCGTTGGACTTCCTGGTTGTGGTGGAGCATCAGAGGGAAAACCAGCAGTCATGACTAACATGATCCTGGACATTGAGCGATTCTTCGGATTGATGGAGCATGCGCCAATGCTCTACGACCCCCACACACAGTTTAAAAATGTGCATCAAAAAATAAAAAGTGGATAGATCTAGCATCAGAGCTGTATGATGAATACTCAGTGTACAGTAGTGGCCAGACAAAGAATGTGGTGAGTGATTACACATATCTTGTATGTTGACTAACTGTATGTCATGTAATCCAAATAAAGTTTGTCATATGTGGGGGTTAATATGCTGCAGGTAGTACTGTCAGCATCCGGGCCAAAAACGCACTGCATTATTAGCACCGCGTCTGCAGATCCGCACCTGAAAAATCATGTGAACAGGCCCTCAAGCCTGTGTGGGTTGGAAAACCACTGGCTCCCAATTGACAGTGGGTATTAAAGCTGTCAGTGACGGCTAGGATTGAGATCTACAATCCACGCAAAGTGCCGGCTGGTGGCTTTCAAAGTAAGGACGTTTATTAACATATCCCCAGAATGGGGCATTATGCAGGGGAACTTTAATATACAGACTGTGGGGTGGTAAGGTTAAGCTAAATTGAGTGAAGGTTATGACTTTGGCACAGTTGCTCTGTTTGCTGGATAGCTTTAGTAGCTTACTGAGGGCTGCCACTTGTTGCCCAGAGTTGCTCTTTGACTATATCTGCTGGTATTTTGTAAAAGATGTAGACGGTAAAAGTGTGTAAGGCAAGTGTTGTAAAAGCATGCCGCAGGGATCAGACAAGACACGTGCGGTCATGCCTAATAAATGTGTCTAAAATATTTTCTCATTGTTTTCTAGGGAGCTGTTCACCATAATGCCTGCAGGAGTATCTTGGCCTCAGTACTTGAAGATGTTCAGTGCCAGCCTTCTTTCCATGCTTGCAGGTGCAGAACTTGTACACAGATACTACAGACCTGATCTTGTATGTATATTGAAAGCCTTGAAATGCTTAAAATAATTCCGTTCCTTGTAAAGGATTTCAAGGGAATTGCATCATTCTTTTAAGTGCATGTTACAAGTGCATATTATGCAATAACAGTTAATGACGCCTGAGATAAGTCTGTGTGGCATGGTTCCTGCACGATTTTCTTTTTATTTGTATCTACTGTATCTTTATTTCTTTGCTTTTTTTACCAGAGTGCATAGTTTTTGTAGTAGCTGTTTTGCATGAACAACTGCAGCATATTTTCACATCCTTTAGGGACACTGTCAGCAAAATCTCCCTGCAGGAGGGAAAGCCCCTGAGTCTAATGAGACTAGTACAGCTGCCGAGATCTCTTGTGCACAACGGCTCCCCTGCATCAGTTGCATTTAAGTCTGTTATCTGAACCCCAAGTAGAAGGCAAAGCAAGACAAGGAACTTCCACCTAATGTTAAAGAAAGGATTATCTTCTGTAAAGCAAGATGTTTATTATTTAGGCTGGATCAGGTGTGGGGAATTCCTATTGCCTGACGCCTGGTACATGTAATTCCTGGCACCAGGCAGGTGTGTTTTTTTTCTACATTTAGCCCTGCTGTTGACCTTTTTCCACTTGGAACACTTCTGATCTTTTTACCAGGACATCTTTCCTACGTTATGCTATCAAGTCAAAGTTCTTACAAGGTAGCTTTCTCTCCTTGTTGATCGTGGTTCAGGTTGTGAGTCTTTCCCTGCAGGGAAATTCATGTTCATTCCATCTGGTCTATGGAGACCCTTCTTCTTGGTCTTTGGGCATCTGGTGTAGTACCCCATCTTTTCCCCAACTGGTCTTATCATGCCCCCCACCAGGATGGGGGGTTCAGCCTCATCCTGTGCCAGATTTAAGGGTTAGTCCTTCAGCAGCTCTTGAGCTGCTGGCAGTCCCCAGTTCTTGCCCATGGGCCTGTTACCAGTTGTTTTCTGTTGCCCACCCCTCATTTAGTTTTTGGACATCCCAACAGTTAAAGTGACATTAAAGTCCCAATCCTGCTGTAGGGACTTACCTTAAATGATGCCTCTTAATCCGATCATCTTCTTCTTTACTGTCCTTTTCAGATGTCCCTCCAGCGCTGGTGCGGGTGTCTGATCCAGCGCTGACTCCTCTGTCCTCCTATTCTCTGCTATCCCACGGTGTCTGTGTGGGTGCACGCTGCTCCGTAGACTTACCTTGTGTCTCTCCTCATCTCCCGGCCGAACATCTGAACTGCGCATGTGCCCACCCCAAGATCCTTTGCGGCCGCCCGAGACTCTTCAGATGTTCGGACGGAAGTGTTTCTTATCATGCTATTGGTACGGCTTGCTACAAAACTGAGCTCTGGCGATGGTGGAAGGGGTTATCCTGGGCTGGTCTACATTTTTTTTTTGTGTCCAATCCTTCAGCAGTATAACCCAGGACAGTTAATTAAATACTTCCTGTGTCCTTCTATTGACTCCAAGAAAAATATTTTATGGTGAGTACAGAAATCCTATCTTGGACAATATTTACCTATCCTGGAGTTTGGCTTTAAAGGGATAAACCTTGGGCAAATATGCATGATATGTACTGCATATTTTTTTCTTATGTATTTTGCTCTGACATGCACTTTGTCCACATATTTGGTATTTGTGTACCCTATAAATGCACCAGAAAATGAATGCAGATACAAAAATCCATAGGAACAGTGATGTTCATATCATTTAGTGAATAATGGGAATCTTTATTTGAAGTAGACACAGCTTCACCTTATTTACTAAGTAAGCATACACTTTTGAAAGTGAGAGTTCTTTATTGCTTTCGTAAATCAAAACCGCTATGATTTAATCACTTGACTCCTAACATTTTAGTTTTAGATTGTCAAGATAAAAGCTGGTTATGTACTTGTGACCATAATCAAACATTAAAATGTATTTCAGAGTGTACCTGAAACTCCACCCAAACCAGGAGAACTGAAGACCGAACTTCTTGGATTAAAGCAAAACAAAGAAAATAAGCAGGAATCAAGCTAAATATATGTAATTTAAATGTGTTCTTATTTTTGTTATACACGTTGTTTACTTTTAGTAAACGTGATTCGCAATTGTTTGTCAATTTTTCACAAACTTAAAGATTAGAATTTAATATCTACATGCAACAGTGACCATAAACTTTGTGTATTTAATTTTCTTTATGGAGAAGCCATTAATAAAAAAAAAAAGTGTTGTTAATATATTACATTTATATACATATATACTGATCTTTATTTTAGATAACCTGAGTTCATAATCTTGTGGGTTATATTGGGGATGTTCAGATACCAGTGCCGATACTTGGCATTTTCATGAGAACTACCAGGGTTGCAGCAGGGACCTGGCTCTGGCGCTCCACCACTGTCCTGAAATCATTAGTCGATATTGTTTTAGAAAAGATGTCACGTGACACTAAACAAAAATGTATCCGTACTCGTACTTGGGCAAGTACCAGTACTTGTACTTGCAAAAATGGTATCGGTGCATCCCTTTATTTATATTTATAAAAACAAAATCATACATTAAGAGAACTATGGGGTTAAGGCTTTTCCCCATAGATCTCCTTAGGGTAACGGGAGGAAACAAACTAGCGTCCTCCCGTCACCCTAAGCTCAGTATACCGCAAGCTGCAGCTCGCGGTATACAGAGACGCCACAGTATACCGCGAGCTGCTGCTCGCGGTATACTGAGACGCCGCAGCTGAAGCGGATCACAACAATTATGCCGGGATCCGCCCAGCTGCGTGAGTGACAGCTGGCTCTGCCTATCTAGAGGCAGAGCCAGCTGTACCCACCCCCTCCCGATCCGCCAGTCAGCGCTGGCGGATCGGAGTAGGGAGGGGGCAATCTAGCCCCTCCCCTGTCACGGCAGAGAGCTGTGACAGGATCGAGAGGTGAGCGAACGCCGATATGTGTTCGCTCACCTCCTGATCTATTGCGCCGACCTGTGACAGTCTCATTGTCACAGGTCGGCTAGAACTATGAGGTGAGTGAAAAGCACTCACCTCATAGTTCTCCTTTAAAACAGGGATGTAAAAATCCCAGGAGCTACGTATGCTCCTTACAAATGACAGCTGCCTCCTAACTTTTGAGTTTTTCTCTAGTCCTAGTCTTGGAACTCAAAGTATCTGAACATCCCTAGCAAATATCCATACCAGGTCAATGGGTTATAGTTGTATACCTAAAAAAATCTGAACAAATTAGTTGAGACTCTTAGCAGTACATCTAGAAGATTTTTTGTCGTTGTATATTAGTAAATTCTCAGAGAAGGCACAAAATTCTACTAAAAAAACTGACAGCTGTGACAATAGAGTACATCGCATTTTCCGTTTTAAACACATTTTATCACAATACATTCTGTAAGAAACGCCCATGGACTGTTGTTACACGAGAACAGTAAAACTATTGATGTCAGTTAGTTGTATGCTTGTCTTTTATAGTTGAAAAGAAATCTGCTAAACCTTTAAAACATAAGGGGGAACAGAGAGGAGGGTAGATGGTGAGGTTCCAGGTTTTGGGCTGGAGAGAGAACCATAGCTGATATCAATGCAGCATCCTAGTCCTGGGACGCTACCATATAAGTGGAGTACTGTATACTCAGAAGGCATCCTTTGGTCTCTTAATGGTACATGTAAGGTCCTCTATGAGTTTGGTGTAATTTGTCCTGGCAAACCCCTGTGTAATGGATGGTGGTTCCCACCAACACCAGAGAGCAGAGCTGCATGCCCTGGCGGTGGTAACTATTTCTATAGCTAGAATTTTCTTGTACTGAGTTTCCCCAAAAATAAGACCTAGCACTATCTTCAGAGATTTCTGTAATATATAACCCAGTTCGGTGGTAGGGGGCACACATGTATTGGTGGATCCAAGCAGCCAGCAAGGGGTCCGAGAGTAACATTCAATTATATGAGCAGCCCGCCCACACACACATCTGTCTGCCTAGGCTTTTACGGTAGATTAAAAAAAAACTGCAGCTCAAAGCTACATTTCCCAGCAGGCAGCGGCACAGCCATTGGGGTCGGAGTGAGGTCAGGTGCGACGAGGTGGCTCCCTGGACAGCATTAGAGAGGAGAGCTCCAGGACAGATGCAGCCTTCAGGTACTACTGTGACAGTATTTTTTTCACTCCCCTTCTGTACTGTATGATACAGTACATTCCATATATCTGCTCTGTGTGCCTCAGCCTCCACAGCATATATTATCTTTTTAAATTATGGTAGAAAAAAAAAAAAGTATGTGGGGGGGAGACAGGTAAGATTACACAGAACATAGCAGTCTGAGCTTCTGTGTGATGAGTCTGCTTACTAGTGGGTTTGAAGTTTGGGACATTTACAAAGGATGTAAAGAAGAATACCTTTCTTTTCTCCAGCATTTGTTGGCAACTGAAGGGAACATGTGTACAGTGCTAGGAACAGCACCAACGGTTCAATGGTGAGTGTAACGTGCCTCCTGGTAGGCATTACTGATGGAAGATCTGTGTTAAAAGTGGATTTGTTTGTTGGTTTAGGTTGTTTTCCCATTTCTGGAAAAGGTGTGTGAGAATCTAGGCCAGATTCACCAGTATTGAATAAAGTGCAGAGATTTCATCCTGTTCAGTTTAGATGCAGTGTAGTA